TCTGTCATTCCTCTTCTATTTGTATTCTTTGACTGTTTGTTCTCTTGGACTGAGTACCTTCTGCTCTCTCTCACATGCTGTTCTGGAACATTCTTTCTCTCCCTACCACCCCACCCATCTGGTTAGTTACTCCCATCCATCTTTCAGGTGTCAACCTAAACCACATTTTTCTGTGTGTGAAAGTTGTATTAAGTTTTCCCTGGTTCATCATTTTGCACTTGTTTGAATAATGTCGAAATAATATTGATCATATTGGGATTTGGTAGAAAACAATGTCTCTTGAGTATTATGTCTGATATAAGAGTGAAGAAGTATAACAGGAGTTTAAATTGGTACAAACTTGCCAGGCATGGGGGCTCACACCAGTAATCCCAACAACTCAGGAGGCTGAGGATTGCAGGTTTGAGGCCCAGTCTGGGAAACTGAGACCTTGTCTCAATTAAAAAAAAAAAAAAAAGGCTGGGGATGTAGCTTATTTAGTGTTAAAACATCCGTGGGTTCAATACCCAGTACCTAAATAAATAGGTTAAAAAACTCCATGGAAGGCAATAACTCTGTACATACAAAAGATTAGAATTAATCTACATGTCTATATTAGGGACAATGTAAATAAATTATGGTATGTTCATGTAACACAACACTCTGAACTCATAAAAGATTAAAAATATCTTTATATATTGATATGGTAAAATTATGAAAGTCTGGGCTGGGGTTGTGGCTCAGTGGTAGAGTACTCACCCAGCATGTGAGAGGCACTGGGTTTGGTCCTCAGTACCATATAAAAAAACCAAACAAACAAATAAATAAATAAAATGAAGGTATTGTGTCTGTCTACAACTAAAAAAAACAAAAGAGTGGCACTGTTTTATATTTTTGCAAACCTCTTTTAATTTCTAGCATAATGGCAGATTAATAGGTTCTTATCTGCTTTTTTTTTKTKTGTGTGTGTGTGTGTGTGTACTGAGGATTGAACCCAGGGGTGCTCAACCACTGAGCCACATCCCCAGCCCTTTTTTACATTTTATTTAGAGACAGGGTCTCAGTTGCTAAGTGCCTCACCAAATTGCGACACTGGCTTCGAACTTGCGATTCTCCTGGCTCAGCCTCCCAAGCCACTGGAATTATAGGCGTGCAACACTGTGCCCAGCTCTCATCTGCTTTTGCACTGTTTGTTGCAATGTTATTTTAGTTTGAAGAAATATGAAAACAATCCCGGCTCACAAAGATAAGTAGTTAGAAAAAGGAGAAGTATTTCAATAGCCTTTTCAGATAACTGTGTAGATCCTTCTTTGATGTAATACCAAAATTTGACAAATAATAGTTTCTCTTTGTGGGGAGATTACTGGGGATTGGACTCAGGGGCACTTGACCACTGAGCCACATTCCCAGCTCTCTTTTGTATTTTATTTAGAGACTACTGAGTTGCTTAGGGCCTTGCTAAATTGCTGAGGCTGGCTTTGAACTTGTGATCCTCCTCCCTCTGCCTCCTGAGCTGCTGGGATTATAGGCAGGCACCACTGCACTCAGCCAAGTAATAGTTTCTTAAAGGTTACTTAGAATGTAGAATCTGAAACCACATAAATGAATGATTGGTCACCTGCTACATTAAAATGAATTGGTATGGGGCTGAAAATGTAGCTTCATGGTAGAACATATCCTGCATATCCTTAGCATGAATGAGGCTGTCGGTTCCATCTCTAGCACCAGAAAACCCAAATACCAAAAAACACATTGGTGGATTCTGTACTGAATCTATAAATGGGTCTCTTATATATGAATGATTTTGTTTTATCATACATTGGTCAGTTTGAAAACAGTGACTCACTGAAATATGAAGATCTTCAAATGTTAACACATTTTATTATACAACATTGCTAACTGGCTCTGTGGCACAATGAATTCTAGCCAGACCTACACTGCCCATACAACATTGCTAACATTTGTTAATATTACCATGGATCCCATCTAGAAAGTCATTCAAAGTGCCAAAAAGTTATCAACTTTAGGTGACAGATACAAGTGTTCCTATACTCTAATTTTCTCTTTTTGCTTAAAAACTCAAACTTTTTCCTTGGCAAAAAATACTGTCAGTTGTTTTCCTGACAGTTCACTTTATTCATTTTTCAAGAAAATGTCTGCCAAATACTCACTTTTGAATAATCATGGTTTTTGTCTGCTAGCCATTCTTTTTTTAAAAATATTTATTTTTTTGTAGTTGTATACAATAACTTTATTTATTTATTTATTTTTATGTGGTGCTGGTGCTGAGGATCAAACCCAGGGCTTTGCGTGTGTGAGGCGAGCGCTCTATCACTGAGCCATAACCCCAACCCCTGCTAGACATTCTTTTTGATGGTGTTCCATTAAAAAATAATAATAATAATGCTTACTTGAACTTGCACCTCAAGTGTTTTCTTCAAGGCAACCATCATGTTTCAGAATACAGCACAAGGACTTTGTGAGTATTTCGCATCCATCATATAGAATGCTACAGATTGTATTTAAGGATTGAAATTTAATAACATTAATACCTTTTACTGCTTAACTTCCAGGGCATTTTAAGTAAAAATGGCTTTTCTGTTATCACTGCATGTGCATGAGAATGAATGATTACAAGACAGTTTGACCTGGGCATGGTGGCAGTATACCCCACCTCCCCCAAAAAAGACAGTTTAATATCTTGATTCTTGCTAAGGTAACAGTAGTTTAATCGCCACTCTTTTTTTGTGTGTGTGTGCTGAAATTGAACCCAGGGCCTCAAGTATGCTAAGCATGCAATCTATTGCTGAGTTGCTAGTATAGACTACCTCTGTGACTCTATCTAGATTTTTTTTTCTCTAGTCCATGTGTCTCTCCTAATCCTAGACTTCATTGGACCCTGTAACAATGACAGAATCGTCCTTGCTCCTATCAAAAGCCACGGCCTCTGCTTTTACKCTGAATCCTTCCCTACAGCCTTCCCTAGGACATTCCTGCTTCAGATATTCTGTCAATATTTTCCTCTCTCATCAACATAAACACTCTCTAATATTTCTTCCTGTTCTTACAAATCCTTCCTTTGATCCCATAGACCTGTTTGGCTATTGACCAATTTCTCTGCTTCCTTTTGTTAAAAAAAAAAAAAAAGTTTCAGAGTTGTCTACACCTGCTCTTGTTGTTCCCTCACTTCCAATTCACTAACCAGCTCCTCCAAAATAGCTTTTGTTCCCACCACTCCAAAAAAACTGCTCAGGTCCCCAGGTGTGGAGGTACACACCTGTAATCCCTGCAATTTGGGAAGCTGAGGCAGGAGGACCCCAAGTTTAAAGTCAACCCAAGTAGCTTAGTGAAGCCCTAAGCAACTTAGTGAGACCTTGTGTCTAAATAAATAATTAAACAAACAAATAAATAGGACTGGGAATGTGGTTCAGTGGTAAAGCACCCCTGGATGCAATCCCTAGTAAAATAAATATAAAAAATTAAAAAATAAACTACGGATAACTTGTACAAGGCTATATAGAGCTAGTAAGTGGAAAAGACAGGATTTAAAACTAATTGTTTTCCTCAAATATCCAGTCTCTTAATAAGAATTCTGCTTCATAATACACAAAATGTTACCAATGTTAACATACAAAATGTTACTAATGTTTATCTCTATATGGTAGAATTAAAATGATTTTGTTTTCTTCCCTATATTTTTCTATGTAGTCCATATTTTCTACTATGACATTTATTACTTCTATAATCAGCAAAACATTAAGGAAAAATTGTGATGACTACTTGATAACATGGAAAAAAAGATTGTATGTTAACTTTAAAAAGACACAAGTTTCAAAGTAAGGTATGATTAAAATTATGTAAAAATTTGCAAGAGATAAAAGGAGTTATTCAAAATACCAATAACAATTGTATTACTGAGATAGGATTAAGAATGTGATTCCCCAGGCTAGGGATGTATCTCAGTGGTAGCATGCTTGCCTAGCAGGAGCAAGGTCCTGGATTCAATCCCTGACAAAGCAATAATAATAATAATAATAATAATAATAATAATAATAATAATAAAAAGTAAGTAACTTCCCCAACCTTTTCCATATTACTATTAATGTAATTATACTTTATATTTTATAACAGACACAAATTTAAGCCTAAAAGGAAGCAAAAAACAATCACCTATAATCTCATTACCTCAAGATTACACTGCTAACATTAAACGAAATTCTACTTCCTTTTCTAAGATCAATACTATCACTTATAAATACTAACCTAAGGAGCCAAAGAGAATTCTTACTCAACCTAGACATAACACTAAGTTGGGTAGGACACCTAAAAGTTGAATTTAAATAGAATCTTAAATAAGAAAACGCAATTGAATGCCTCTATGTCAGACAAAACGAAAAAGATATATTTCTAGACTAAAAGCCTGGCCCCTTTGTGGATTTGTTAGACAAATCCTGGACAAGGTGCTTGGCCTTTCTCAACTTGTTTTTAAAAATACCTACTTCCGGGCTGGGGATGTGGCTCAAGCGGTAGCGCGCTCGCCTGGCATGCGTGCGGCCCGGGTTCGATCCTCAGCACCACATACCAACAAAGATGTTGTGTCCGCCGAGAACTAAAAAATAAATATTTAAAAAAAAAAATACCTACTTCCTGTTTATATTCCCATAGAACTGCTTTGAAGTGAAAATAAAAAAATGTATGTATGCATCTAACTAAGCATTATGTGTATATGTCTGAAAATACTTTGTAAATTCTGAATTCCTATATACAGGTAAGAATCATTACAGTCTACACTAACAGTAAAAAGAGTGATATGGAATTCAATAAGCTTAGAAAATCACACAGCAAATAACAAGTTCAAAAAAAATAATTTCTATGTGACTGTGTTGATCACTAAACTGGATTCAGATTTAGCTAATAAAAGGAGAGGTAATGTATTTGCTTTTAACAATATCAAGAGGAGTCTTGCATGCAGAAAAGAAGAGAAGGTCATATGTTTCTAGGGTGTAAACTAAATCTCTTACCTGCAGCTCTGCTTCCAGGCCCAGCCGCCGGATAAAGGGGTCAGTGACATGGTAGCGCCGTTCAAAGCTCAGGGCACCTCGCTCCTGGAAATAGAAACTCATGATTTCATTGATTCAATTCAACATAATTTAGTATTTACATAATTCTATATCCAGCCCAGGCTGGGCACTACAGGAAATATAAAAGATAATGAATTGATGTATATGAGTTTGTACTACTCTTGGGCTGACAATAGAGTATAACAGAAGAGAATGTATAATGAAACACTAAATTCTGTCGAGTTTCTTTTAAATATTTTATTTTTTCAGTTGTAGTTGAACACAATCTTTATTTTATTTATTTATATGGTGCTGAGGATCAAACCCATGGCCTCGAACATACAAATCGAGCACTCTACCACTGAGCACAACCTCAGCCCTGAGGTTTTTGTTTTTGTTTTTTTAAGACAAAAAGTAACATAAAAAATGGAAACAACAAATATGGAATGTAATCATATTTAGGTTGGAGAGGGTAGGTATCATATTTAGAATATACATTGTAGAAGATACATTAAGGAAAAAAGTAACCTACTGAGTTTGTACCTCTAAGTAATAGTCTATTCTTGGGGACACCCAGTCTAATGACATCTCCCAAATCCCCCAAAAAGACAAAGTTAGGAGGATTCAGGGGGAAATATACAAAATATAAAGGCTAAAACATGCACCAAGTACATGGCTCCTATACAGGCATGCACTCAGTCCTTCTAGATGATGACTATAGTTTAGGCTGAATACTACTTAATTTAAAAACATATTCTAGTTTACATTTTTTAGCATTTAAAAAGCATTGTCAAAGCATTTCTCATTTCCTTTAATATTTCATGCTCAAAATCATCGTAGAGGCAAAAAGATATTATTTAACAATAGAAAACTGAGGCATAGTCTATGGTTATACCATCCATCCTGAATGTGTCTAATCTCATTTGATCTCAAAAGCTAAGCAGGGTCAGACCTGATTAGTACTTGGATGGGAAAAAAAAATCAAAGCACAGTGACTGTCATATAGATAGTTAATTAGGACAGTGATGAGATGAAACTTCTGACTGTAGTTTGGGGTTCTTACTATAGAAGTACATCATGCCTAGGCTGATTCTATTCCTTTAAACCTGGATGGCTCATACACTGCTGGTGGGACTGCAAATTGGTGCAATCACTCTGGAAAGCAGATGGAGACTCCTTAGAAAACTTAGAATGCAACCCCCACTTAACCAGTTATCCTACTCCTCAGTTTATACCCAAAGGACTTAAAGTTAGCATACTACAGTGATGCAGCCACATCAATGTTTATAGCAGCTCAATTCACAATAGTTAAGCTATGGATTTAGCCTAGGTGCCTTTCAACAGATGAATGGATAAAGAAAATGTGGTATATATACACAATGGAATACTACTCAGCCTTAAAGAGAAATAAAATTATGGCATTGGCCAATAAATGTTAAATGAGTGGAACCGGTAACTATCATGCTAAGTGAAATAAGCCAATCCCCCAAAACCAAAGGCCGAATACTCTTTCTGATATGTAGATGATAACTCACAATAAAGGGTGAGGGTAGGGAAGAATAGAAGTACTTTGGATTAGACAAAGGGGAATGAAGGTAAGGGATGAGGAATGGAAATAGGAAAGATAGTAGGATGAATTGGACATGACTTTCCTATGTGCATATAGATTACATGACCAATGAAATTCTATATCATGTACAACCAGAAGGATGAGAAATTATACTCCATATATGAATGTCAAAATACGTTCTACTGTCATGTAAAACTAATATGAATAATTTTTTTTATTTATTTTTTTTTTTTTTAGAGAGAGAGAATTTTCAATATTTTTATTTTTTAGTTCTCGGCGGACACATCTTTGTTGGTATGTGGTGCTGAGGATCGAACCCGGGCCGCACGCATGCCAGGCGAGCGCGCTACCGCTTGAGCCACATCCCCAGCCCCTAAAATTTTTTAAATTAAAAAAATAAATACACTTAATGAATCTCACACACATACACACACACACACACACACACACACACACACACAAACAAACAAAAAACACAAAACAAAACAAAAAAACCCTGGATGGCCCCTTTAGTAAGGGATGACAAAGCCTGGAAGCCATCTCACTTGACTATACAGTCTTCTATTCATCTTACAGGTATCAGAGACTTTTACATATAAACTGCACAGGACAGGCTTTAGTACAGAAGAGAAGAAAGAGTCTAAGCTACACTGGGACTAAGATTCCCCCAGGTTCTACATAACATTTACAACTCAGTGGCTGCAGCAGCATAAAGAAACTATATTTACTCTTGTGTGTACCACCCAACAATCAGATGTACATGCATGTGCACAACACACAGATGGTATCCCTCCCTCACTACACACACGGTATTGATCTCAGCAGCTGGTGTAAGCTCTTGGACAAAGGACTCTCCATAAATTCCATGTTCTTTGATAAAAGAGATGGGAAAGCATGGGTATGGTGGCATACACCTGTAATCCCAGCAATTTAGGAAGCCAAGGCAAGAGGAATGTAGTTGGAGGTTAGTCTCAGCAACTTAGCAAGGCCTCAAACAATTTAGCAGGACCTTCTCTCAAGAAATTTTAAAAAGGTTGGGGATATAGCTCAGTGATAAAACACCTTGGGTTTAATCTTCAGTACCTGCCCCCCTGCAAAAAAACAACAACAACAACAACAACAAAAAAAAAAACTATATAGTCCTAGGTCTACTGTCAACTAGCTATGTAACTCTAGGCAAGTCACCAATTTACATCTCAGTTTTTTCATCTGTAAAACGAATCTCTAGGGAAGAAAGGATCTCATACTCTGATTCATTAGTCTGCAATGCTTACCTTGATCTGCCTACGGATGAGGTCTCTAGTAATGTTGACTTTTGCCATCTTCTCTTAATGGGTTCAACAGGAAGAAGCTATGGAAGGATCTTCAGGATCCTGGTGCATTCCAGCCAAGTCCAGATCCACAAGACACACATTTAATTCCCTGGAGGAAGAAACATCATAAATTTGGGGAGTAGAATAAGGTGACTTCAGGGCTTGATTCAACAAAAAACAGTTCACCAGCCCATTCAATGAAATATTTCCTGTGATTTGTGTCAGAGTGGGTTGGTCCTGATCTGTAGTGTTGAAGAACCCTTGCAATGCGTAAAGGCAGGGAGGACAGAGACTCATAAGCACAGGAAACACTGGAATAAACACTGATAGACTCATGCACGCTTCACCAGAAAATTGGGGCGGGGGTGGGGATTGGATATGTGTACAAAAGAAAACACATCCTGAAAGTCAGAACAAGGTGCAGAGCTAGAGAGATGTAAGTTTCTCTTGCTCAGTTTGCACGGTGGCAGCCCATCTGAACATTTAGTTATGCTTCAAATCTCTGGTCCTCAACTTGAAGAATCAAAGACAGAACACAACTCTCTCATAGATTCACATAATCAAATAGTGGGAAGAGGAGTGTCCAGATAGCTCAACAAATGGAAGTTCCTGGAGGGTCGTGAGCCCCTTCCTACATGCCTTGCTCTATCTCTTCACCTGTATCCTCTGTAATAGCCTTAATAATAAACCTGAAATTTTTTTAAAAAAAAGTGACACTGAGTGTAATGGTGACCATCTCCAAGATTCAACCCAATAAAGAAATTCCTCTTTAACATCCTGATAGATCCACCTTTAGTCTCACCAGATTTGAATATATCCCTGTGTTATACTGCCCTGGTTGGAAAGAACAAGTAATCCCATTTCTGAGAATTCTGCACAGAAAAACTAAAAATGTCAAGGAAAAAAGTTCCACACTTAAGCATATTCATCCAGAATTTTTTAACAGCAAAAAAACAAAAATAAAGCTACAAGTTTCCAATAAAATAGGAATAGCTAAATAATATAGTCATAAGATATTATGCAGAGATTAAAAATGTAAAAAATGCTTATATCATAGCATGCTGCTTTTTCAACAAATACATCATAGCTATGCTTTTAAAAGGTAATATAAAAAAATAGCTGCTTTGGATAAGAGTATGGCTGATTTTTTTCTTCAAATTTTCAAATGTTTTAATTTTTTTCCCTAGAAAGACACATTAATTTTTTTTTTCTTTTTTGGAACCAGGGATTGAATTAGAGGCACTCAACCACTGAGCCACATCCCCAGCTCTTTTTTTTTTTTTTTTTTTAATATTTATTTTTTTTAGTTCTCGGCAGACACAACATCTTTGTTGGTTATGTGGTGCTGAGGATCGAACCCGGGCCGCACGCATGGCAGGCGAGCGAGCGCGCTACTGCTTGAGCCACATCCCCAGCCCGACCCCAGCTCTTTTTTATATTTTATTCAGAGATAGGGTCTTACCGAGTTGCTCAGGGCCTTGCTAAATTGCTAACGCTGGCTTTGAACTTGCAATCCTCCTGTCTCAGCCTCCTGAGCTGCTGGGATTACAGGCATGGGCCACCGCCCCTGGCATATTAATTCTTAATCAGTAAAAAACAAACAAAAAAAATGGAGGAAGAAAAAACTTAATATTTTTGTTTTTTGTGGTGTTACGGATGGAACCCTGGGCCTTGCACATGCTAGACAAGTGTTCTACCACTGAGCTACATCCCTACCTACTGTTTTTTTGTTTTGTTTTGTACCCTTTTTTGGTACTGGGAACTGAACCCAGGGGTGCTTCACCATTGAGCCACGTCTCCAGTCCTTTTTATTTTTTATTTTGAGACAAGTTCTCATCAAATTGTTTAGGGCCTCGATAAATTGCTGAGGCTAGCCTCAAACTTGTTATCCTCCTGCTTTAGCCTGTTGTTGGGATTACATGTATGTGCCACCACGCCCAGCCCACCTACCATTTTTAAAGGAAGTTCTGTTTCTTGTTATTTTAATATTTTGGTCCTACTTCCACTTCTGGGCCATACAGAAGTCTACTCTTTCTTCCCTATGATAGTTTTCTGTGCTGTGAGAATGTCTGTACTTCCACCAGGTCTCTCTACCAATCATCTAAGACATTAGGACCTCCCAAGGCCATTTCTGGATCTTCCACCAACCATCTGCAGATTTCTAATACACCATCATGAAATTACACCTTTTTCACCTGATCTGTGAATAGCCTCCCTCCTTTCTTTTGGCATTTAACACAAAAGGAAACTATATTTCTAAACATTACATTATTGCAGGGATTTTTTTTCCCCTTTAATGCTAAAATTTGCTGCTTGATTAGGTGTCCCCATTCAACTTGAGTTCTTTGGGGCTAATGTCTCTAAAATTGATTTTTGGGATCATAAGCTGTTAAAAAGGCATCCCTTACAGCACCTGTAAGCACCAAGAACATCCAGGAATACCAACTGAAAACAACTACATTTTCAAGATGACTGTTGTAGCGCTCTTTGGCCATCAGATAATTAATATAAGCTAGGGCTGGGGTTGTAGGTCAGTGGTAGAGCGGTTGCCTAGCATGTGTGAGGCACTGGGTTCAATTCTGAGCACAACATATAAATAAAATAAAGGTCCACTGACAACTAAAAAAAAAAAAAAAAAAGATAAAATAAAGCTACTTAAGCTAAATACTGGCAGCAATTGTGTCTACATAATGATCAAACCCAAAACAAAAATATAATTTCATGCAATCACCAAGAATGTGAGATAAACTATATTAAAATGAAAATAACACCAAACTAGGAAGAATGTGTGATCTTGCTCAAGTCTCTCTCACAGGCACAGGAACAAAACACTGAAGGGGCCATGTATGTCACCACAAAAAGGTTCATTCCTTGCCCCTACTGTTTTCCTTGGAGAACTGCCATGGAAGTCAAGTGAAACAATGTAAATCAGAAGTTTTTTTTGTTTGTTTTTGTTTTTTTCCAGGCAAGGGTTATAGCTCAGCAGCAGAGGACTGGCTTAACATATATGAAGCCCTGGGTTCAATCCCTTACAGAAAGGAAAAAAAGTATTTTTCTCTTAAGAAAACAAATACTGGGGCTGGGGTTGTGGCTCAATAGTAGTGCACACATCTGGCGTGTGTGAGGCACTGGGTTTGATCCTCAGCACCACATAAAAATAAATAAATAAATAAACAAATAAATAAGTAAATAAAATAAAGGTATTGTATACATCTACAATTAAAAAATATTTTTTCAAAAAGAATGCAAATGTTTTTATCTGCTAAGAATAGTAATTAACCAAATATTATGTATTTGCTATGTGCCAGGCATTGTACTAATTCATTCATTAACTCATATATTTATTAATTTAACCAATGAATGCAAGAAGCTTCTACTATGTGCCAGATACTGTTCCAGGCCCAGGAGATACAGCAGTGAGCAAAACAGGCAGGGTACTTATATTGTAGCAGGAGGAAACAGACAATAAACAATAATAGAAGACTGGGGATGTAGCTCAGTGGTTGAGTGCTTGCCTAGCTGGACACAAGACCCTAGCTTGATCCCCAGTACCACAAAAAAAAAAGAACATAAAACAGAACAAAATACCCAAGACAAATATAAATAAAATAAGAAGATATCCAACAGTGAAAAATGCTGTGATGACAATGAAACTAGATGATGTGAGAATGACTCATGAGCTATTTTTAGACTTGAGGTCAAAGATGATGTAGTGGTCATTTTTGGAATTGTCTGGCTGCTCCAAACCCCTTCCCATATTTTGGGAATTCCCTATCTACTGAGTCTGGTGGGAAGCAGAGCCCCTTCCCACTATGAAGTGGAAAAGTGGAAATGATGCCAACTGAGATTCTCTAAGGCTCCCTTATAGCTAGAGTGGGTACATATGATCCACGCTATACCAACAGACCCATCATTCCTGGACCCTGAATTGGTTTCTAGTGTCACAGAGTCTGAAGACAGCAAAGAGTCCCTGCTGGGGTATAGCAATGGGTGGCTACAGTGACCACCAAGGTCCAGAGCTGCAGGTGGCAGTGGAATGCACTGTGTGAATGGTGATGGCAATAGTGTCCTCACTGGACTGGTTCTGTGAATTACTGCCCAGATTCTCTTGTACTAGCCTATTTTTTCAAGCCTGGCTCTGTGGTCTTCCCTGATGTTTTGTAAGCTTCTCTAATCCCCTTCAATCATCAGCCAGACTTGGTTTCTGTTGCTTACAATTACAAATTCTGCCTAATACAAAGGGGTTGAGAGGATGACATTAAAGCTGAAACATGAACAACAAGCAAAGAACTGGGGGAAGACAGTTCCAAAGGGAGAGTGTTAAGGCAGTGAAGGAAAAGAGGTTCAAAAATTTGTAAGGTACTGGGCTGGGGTTGTGGCTCAGTGGTAGAGTGCTCACCTCGCATGTGCAAAACCCTGTGTTCGATCCTCAGCACCACATAAAAATAAATAAGTGAAATAAAGGTATTGTGTCCAACTACAACTAAAAAATAAATATTTAAAAAAAAATTGTAAGGTACAATCTACCATCACCATTCTACAGATAAGAAAATAGATTCATGGTCATAAAACAATTTTCAAAACATCACTCTGCTAATAATTTGGAGCTGGAGCAGGGATTTGAGTCCAGGGCTATGAGTCTAAAGCCCATACTGTTAACCATATGGCATATAACGATCTACAATAATGTTCACTACAATAATGTTCACTCTTTTGGGAAAAAGAGCCAACTAAATTGTCACTACTCATTAATTTTCTTACAAAATTAACTGAGTATTTATCAATCATCAAGCAATTTTTTGTTAGATATGGGGAACATTGAGATGAAAGACATAGTACATATACTAAGCGAGATCAGAATCAAAGACAAGGGGGTTTAGCTAAAATTGGCATACTAAAAGGTACAAGAGAGGCAAGGCAAAACAAAACAAAACCAGACTAGCAGGAAACCACATTCAGTCAAAAGGTAAAATGGAACTGAGTGTGGTGGTGCATGCTAGAATTCCAATGACTTGGGAAGCTGAGGCAGGAAGATCACAAGTTCACTGCCAGCCTCATCAACTTAGTGAGACCCTGTTTCAAAATAAAAAGTACTGGGAATGTAGTTCA